GGTATGGTTATTATCTCTTCTTCTACAGAATCAGATTTATCTTTGCAACCAGTGGACCCATGCAAATAATTCAGCTTTAATACACCCCGCATTGCTTCTTTGTTCAGACTCTGAGGCTACGTCAAAAGCAAATATGTTGCCAATTCAACACAAATGCCAAATGGTTAAAAGTATTACATTTTGGAGAAATATAGATATAAACTGCAACTGGACTGTTTTACACAGGATTACAACTGCAACGTTTCTAGAATCCAGATGCAGTCCACTGAGGTTTGTAACAAAAGTAGCTTCTGCTATGCTAGCTGCTAAGCATCAAACAGAAGATGGGCAAAGTTAGCGGTTAGCTGATGAACACAGTGGAGCATTTAGTTGATACAAATATGTCCTCTAGGAGTTTAGATAAAACGAGCTAAATCAGAATTTTGGATTAACAAACAGCCGATAACAAGAAACAGAAATCCAATTTAGAGGTCCCATGTCATGCTTTTCTGGTTATTACCCGTCCCCTTGTGTTACGTAGCTTTTTCTGCATGTAAACGGTCTGCAGAGTCACAAACCCTCAAAGTACACCCTGTAGCGAGTAAAACTCGAACACAGAGAAGACCTCTCTGTGCTGCCCCAGAACGCCTCGTTGGGGATTTATCTTTTTCCATTGTTTTCTTGTGAAAAACTCAGCCTGAACTCAGCCGGAAACGGCGAGACGCGGCGGGGCCGGCCTGGGCTCGTTCTGAGCACACCCGCAGACTCACGGCCAGGCTGCAGGTGTGTGTGTCTGCTCGGGCTGGGTTCAGGCTGGGTTTCGCTGTCTCGCAGATCCCCTGCAGCGAGCCCGCAACGTCCCGCCAACACGGCACCCAGACCCCACGCAGCATTCTCATCTGTTTGTCATTACTGGTGTCATTTCCTGGTTGCTAACGCCATTGTAACACATAATCACTGATGTTCCGCTGTAACGGTGGTGGACTCATCAGAACAGAGTGGGCGAGCTGACCAATCAGAGCACACTGGACTCATAGAGAGGGGGGGCAGGAGCTCCAACAAGCCGTTTAGGACAGAGAGTGAATACACTATACAGAGATGCTGTATGAGAAACCAATGTGAGTTTGGAAAATTGCACAATACAAATCTATTCTAGTAGACCTCAACAATGGAATTATGATTAATTTAATGCAACTATTCCTTTCGTTTTATTCTTATAACAATTAGTGGTAGAAGTAAGTGGTCTATTGTGTGGGGTTGCACTTATTTTTTAGCATTAGCATGGATCATAAAAGGCAACCATTTACGATACGATAAGATAATACTTTATTGGTCAGAGCAAGTCTGAAATGTAGCTTGCATCACAGCAGCTCCATGTGTAACATCAACAGACAAATATCAAGACACAATAAAAGAAAAACAAACAACAAACATAACATCACAATCACTGAGAGAAAACATTTCCACATGCAAAACAGAACACTTTTGTTGATTTCAACGTCTTGGGACTGATTTAGTTGAGCCTTTTAGGTACAGAGTTTATATATCTACAGTTCAAGGTTATGGTCATTTTCAAACCAGAGTGGCTACATCTTTTATATAATCTTACATCTTACACGTTACAAGATGAAATGGAAAAACATTTCTCATCACCTGTCAGAGAGCCTCGAACACTTAAGTGGAGGTTGTTTTGAGTCCAGACTGAAAGGCTCAGGCTGAAAAGGTCAAGTTGTTATAAAGCTGTCATCTCAGAGTCAGTAATGAGGGGGGGACGGCTAAAACATGTGATGCTCGTCACACAGGAGGTCAGGTTCGTGATTTCTCTTCTCAGCAGGGACGGCAAAAGTACACACAGCCTTTACTCAAGTAGAAGTACAGACACTCGTGTTTAAAAATACTCTGGTGAAAGTAGAAGTACTGACTAAACTTAATTACTCAAGTAAAAGTAAAGAAGTTTGGGCTTTGAAATGTACTTAAAGGGGACCTATCATGCAAAATGCACTTGTTGATGTCTTCTCTACATCAACATGTGTCCCCGGTGTGTCGGGGAACTCACGCAGCGTCAGAAAATAAAACCCTCTCTCTTTTCCTCTGTACCCAAATCTCTAAAAACGGGGAACAACGGAGCTGATCCAGATTTGCGTCCAATATGACGTAATATCTTAAATGTGGACCCACAGCCCAATCAGAAACGTTGCTATCAGAAACAATGCCCGACTGTTTTGGACGTAATATGGTCGGTGCATGTTTACATTAGCATGGCTAACACTCAGAGCTAACCTGTACTGGAGAGCATGTGTGTGAAGAAGCAGGAAGTAAAAAGGAACTCACCTTGTGGTATAACCGGCAAGAGAGAAAGCCTTTGAGCTCCAAACTGTTTCAGAGAGAATCCTTGATAATCCATGATATGGCGTTTCATCACGGCAGCATTTAGTTTAGACAGTAGCTGCCGGGTCCCGCATGAGCTCAGACCCCTCCTTTTTTTTTAAAGCTTTATACCCCAAATCAGCACTTTTTAAACAGGAAGTGAAATAGAGGGATATGAGGCATGGCTAGAATGATCTGTTTGGTATTTTGAGCAAAACACTTCATACACATGTTTTTTATATATTTTATATATCTGAGACCTATGCTATTGCCTACAAATAGCATGATAGGTGACCTTTAAGTGAAAAGTACCCATAACTAGCAGCTGTTTTAAAGAGTACCTGACCTACCTTTATATTAATAGAACAATAATGTCATTGTTAGTTAATGAATGTTTCCATGCTGAACAACGGCAACATGACAACGTTTCCATTGGTCCCTCTTCTTTAGAGAAGACCAGGAAATGATGGATACACGGATCGTGTTCAAATCAATAGGCACGCAATGACTCTAAAGAATAATGATCACGCATCAAACACACATTCAGACTAAAGGAACCAGCTGTTTGGAAAATGAGAGAAGTAGAAAGTACAGGTATTTGTGTTCAACATGTAAGAAGTAGAAAGTACAGGTATTTAGGTTCAACATGTAAGAAGTAGAAAGTACAGGTATTTGTGTTCAACATGTAAGAAGTAGAAAGTACAGGTATTTGTGTTCAACATGTAAGAAGTAGAAAGTACAGGTATTTGAGTTCAACATGTAAGAAGTAGAAAGTACAGGTATTTGAGTTCAACATGTAAGAAGTAGAAAGTACAGGTATTTGGGTTCAACATGTAAGAAGTAGAAAGTACAGGTATTTGTGTTCAACATGTAAGAAGTAGAAAGTACAGGTATTTGTGTTCAACATGTAAGAAGTAGAAAGTACAGGTATTTGTGTTCAACATGTAAGAAGTAGAAAGTACAGGTATTTGTGTTCAACATGTAAGAAGTAGAAAGTACAGGTATTTGAGTTCAACATGTAAGAAGTAGAAAGTACAAGTATTTGGGTTCAACATGTAAGAAGTAGAAAGTACAGGTATTTGTGTTCAACATGTAAGAAGTAGAAAGTATAAGTATTTGTGTTCAACATGTAAGAAGTAGAAAGTACAGGTATTTGGGTTCAAAATGTAAGAAGTCAAAGTAAAAGTCATCAGAAAAATAAGTAGTGGAGTAAAGTACTGATACCAGAAACATTTACTATATATATTATATTTGTACTCCACTACTTCCCACCTCTGCTCCTCTGTGCCACTTCCTGTCACTGACCAATGCCTATTCCCACTGTCAAACTATATGCTGTCCAATAACTGGTGCAGCTTGAGTGTGTATTGTTAGAAATAATAATAATAGCCATGCCTTGCTTGCCAAGTGGTGATTGTTGAGCTCTGAATGAACCCTGCATGGCTGTTTGGAGGTCCAACACGTGGAGAAATTGGGCAAATGGAGATTTTTGTCTCGACATTTGCATATTGTTTTCTCATGCGCTGTGTTTTGGCTGACTTGTTGGTTGTGGGGATTAGCAGAAGAAAAAAACCAAATGTTGCATCATGTGGTTAGAAATAAACCTCGATTTGTGTAGTCGTGTGGAAATATATATATATTGTAGTAATAATGATATAATCTATTTATAATTGTAAATGTATATTGTATGTAGACATACATTTAGATGTACATTTTGTTAAAAGAAAAATGTTAATAATTTAGTTTTTGGGAGAAGGGGTGGGATTAAATAAGTGTAAACTTCTTCCCACCCATTTTCAGATGTGTAATTAGATAAATCATTGGTTTTTATTTAATTTGTAAGTCAGTAATGTTTTTGTTTATCAGGTAGACACCAGTAATGACAAACAGATGAAAATGCCGCGTGGGGTCTGGGTGCCGTGTTAGCGGGACGTTGTGGGGCTCGCTGCTTCGCCCTTTGAGGCTCGAGGAGCGGACAGTGTGAGCTGTATTACTGGTGTCGTTTCCTGGTTGCTGCGTGGGGTCTGCGAGACAGCGAGACACCGCAAAACTCAGCCTGAAGTCAGCCTGAGCACACACACACACACACACACACACACACACACACACACACACACACACACACACACTCACAGCCGAAGTAAAAACAATAAGTGTGGCTTGATATTGAGTAAGAAAAAGGTTTATAACGCTGTGAGAATGGGTCTGCGGAGAGCATTTCTCCGCGATCCCAACTCGTCTATTACCAACGTTCAGGGAGCTCTATGCAAGTCAATGGGACTCCCTGTTAGCTGAAAATGTACGCTAAAGGGCCCCCGCTGCGTTTGATAGAGACGCCAAGGGATCCTGACATAACGTCACTATAGTACGAGTTAGGAGTGAGAATGTGTTGGTGTGTGAGGAGCTGGTCCAAATGGAGCCGTTACGTCACTATACCCAGGAAGAAAAAGGTCCAACGAAGCGTTCTGGGGCAGCATATACAGGTAATTTCTGTGTTAGAGTTTTACTCGCTACAGGGTGTACTTTGAGGGTTTGTGACTTTTGCACAAGGGTACGGGTAATAACCAGAAAAGCCTTACACGTTCGAATCAAATCAAAGAAAAACATGGTGAAAAAACGGACAGAAAATGACTCTGCTTTTCTGTGTCTTTCAGAATGAACCAGGGTCCCACGTCTGGTTTTGAGGAGGATGTTGGCTCCAGAACAACACATCATGTCATGTATCCAGAGAGTGCGATAGACCTGGAGAACAACACGTGTCTGGTGCTGGTTCCTTTCAAAACTCTAGACCTGCAGTGGATCATCAGTGCTCTGACCACAGGAACCATCAAACAGTAAGTGTACTTATGTGATGATGAAGCTGCGTCCATATCTCCTTACATTTAATGGATCAAATGATTATGTTTAATGTGAGAGGTGTTGCTTGAAAGGGACGGTTCTACAAGTACTTAATAATAATACGCTGTAAGAATACATATGTATGCCAGGAATACACAAGTGAATGTAATGGAGTTTTGGCGACGAGGCCCCGTTGTGCAGGAGTATCATTCGGGAGGGGAGAACCGATCCGATGAACTCCCCCGGGGTCAAGACCCTGGTGGTGGTGAATGGATAGTTGGGTTCGGTCTGAAGGGGAGGGGCTTAGTTTGACCCTGGTGGTGGTGAATGGATAGTTGGGGTCGGTCTGAAGGGGAGTGGCTTAGCTTGACCCTGGTGATGGTGAATAGATAGTTGGGGTTGGTCTGAAGGGGAGTGGCTTAGCTTGACCCTGGTGGTGGTGAATGGATAGTTGGGTTCGGTCTGAAGGGGAGTGGCTTAGCTTGACACTGGTGGTGGTGAATGGATAGTTGGGTTCGGTCTGAAGGGGAGGGGCTTAGCTTGACCCTGGTGGTGGTGAATGGATAGTTGGGTTCGGTCTGAAGGGGAGGGGCTTAGTTTGACCCTGATGGTGGTGAATGGATAGTTGGGTTCGGTCTGAAGGGGAGTGGCTTAGCTTGACCCTGGTGATGGTGAATAGATAGTTGGGGTTGGTCTGAAGGGGAGTGGCTTAGCTTGACCCTGGTGGTGGTGAATGGATAGTTGGGTTCGGTCTGAAGGGGAGTGGCTTAGCTTGACACTGGTGGTGGTGAATGGATAGTTGGGTTCGGTCTGAAGGGGAGGGGCTTAGCTTGACCCTGGTGGTGGTGAATGGATAGTTGGGGTCGGTCTGAAGGGGAGTGGCTTAGCTTGACCCTGGTGGTGGTGAATGGATAGTTGGGTTCGGTCTGAAGGGGAGGGGCTTAGTTTGACCCTGGTGGTGGTGAATGGATAGTTGGGTTCGGTCTGAAGGGGAGGGGCTTAGCTTGACCCTGGTGGTGGAGAATGGATAGTTGGGGTTGGTCTGAAGGGGAGTGGCTTAGCTTGACCCTGGTGGTGGTGAATGGATAGTTGGGGTCGGTCTGAAGGGGAGGAGCTTGACCCTGGTGATGGTGAATGGATAGTTGGGTTCGGTCTGAAGGGGAGGAGCTTGACCCTGGTGGTGGTGAATGGATAGTTGGGGTCGGTCTGAAGGGGAGGGGCTTAGCTTGACCCTGGATTCAGAGGGACAGGAGGTGAAAAGGGGTGGAGGAGGGTTGCATCGAGTCACCTGAAATGACAGCTGTCAGAGGGGGGAGAGCAGATTTTAAAAAAGGGTTAGCGGAGCGCTATGATAGGCTTGTGAGAATAGAGCGAAGTGATTGGTTAAGCTGGGGAGTGACGCCCCCGATCACTTATTGAGAGGAGAGAGAGTAGTGACATGGAAATAGTAAATGAATGAGTAAAGAAGGTCTTCCTGGTTGAACTTACGCTGAGCTTCATTTCTCAATTCAATCTAAAAACTGTCCTTATATATTAAATAGCTTTGAACTCATTACTGTGCATCGTGTGTTGCTTCCCCCCAAATCCATTCACACTCTCTAACTAGCAGATTGTCATAACAGCATTCACTCAGTATTCCTATTTGTCAGATGGCTGTATAAGAATAACCGTTCTGTGTTAATCTTCCAGTACATTTCTCCGTCAGCTGCTTCATTCTCAATGACCCTGTGATCATTAGCTTGATTACTGGACGTCCAAAAAATGTTCAAAAAGCTGACAATAACTCACACGTGCCAACATGTTAGACTGTATAAGGACGAGTGAATCCAAATGTTTCCTATAGTTGTCGTCCAACTCCAAAGCAATCTTTCTGCCTCATTACATTTCACAGAATTGGCAGTAATGTCAGCGTTAACCCAACAGCCGTTAGATCTCAAATGAGGGCTGTGAATTTTACATTTTCTCATCTTGTTAAATAGAAAAGGGCCTCTTTAAAATGACAAAGGGACTGATTGCAGTTCTCAATGCAAACATTTCACGCATGGAAGTATGTATTTTATAACATTAGAGTGCTAAGTGTTCTGGATAATTTAATGCACCAGTAGACACTCGGCCATTTTCACATTCATTCACCGCAAAATGAAGACAAAATGGTTGGTAGGTTATATTGTACAGAAACACATTAAAGCCAGTCTGTATAATATTTGAATTTCAATGAGTAACATTGCAATAGCCTTAATAAAACTTACTTTAATTGGAAACATTTGTCAGGATAGTATCTCACAGTGTGGTCATTACTTTTCATTTCACTCATTAGTATGCCATCCATTTACTTCTCAAACTCAGTCTGCACAGGCACAGTGTGGAATATTTTAGTGGCTTTAAAGAGCACATACTGGGTTTACATTTTCAGGATCATATCAATATGTAGCGTCTCTACTTTAAAGAGTCCTCTCCTGCTGATGTTCAGGTGTATATCAGTATGTAGTGTCTCTACTTTAAAGAGTCCTCTCCTGCTGATGTTCAGGTGTATATCAGTATGTAGTGTCTCTACTTTAAAGAGTCCTCTCCTGCTGATGTTCAGGTGTATATCAGCATGTAGTGTCTCTACTTTAAAGAGTCATCTCCTGCTGATGTTCAGGTGTATATCAGTACGTAGTGTCTCTACTTTAAAGAGTCCTCTCCTGATGATGTTCAGGTATATATCAGTATGTAGTGTCTCTACTTTAAAGAGTCCTCTCCTGCTGATGTTCAGGTGTATATCAGTATGTAGTGTCTCTACTTTAAAGAGTCCTCTCCTGCTGATGTTCAGGTGTATATCAGTATGTAGTGTCTCTACTTTAAAGAGTTCTATCCTGCTGATGTTCAGGTGTATATCAGTATGTAGTGTCTCTACTTTAAAGAGTCCTCTCCTGCTGATGTTCAGGTGTATATCAGTATGTAGTGTCTCTACTTTAAAGAGTCCTCTCCTGCTGATGTTCAGGTGTATATCAGTATGTAGTGTCTCTACTTTAAAGAGTCCTCTCCTGCTGATGTTCAGGTGTATATCAGTATGTAGTGTCTCTACTTTAAAGAGTCCTCTCCTGCTGATGTTCAGGTGTATATCAGTATGTAGTGTCTCTACTTTAAAGAGTCCTCTCCTGCTGATGTTCAGGTGTATATCAGTATGTAGTGTCTCTACTTTAAAGAGTCCTCTCCTGCTGATGTTCAGGTGTATATCAGTATGTAGTGTCTCTACTTTAAAGAGTCCTCTCCTGCTGATGTTCAGGTGTATTGGGATCAATAAAGTACTTCTTATCTTCTTATATGATCTTATCTTTTCACCCTCTGTCTGAAACCAGAGCCCAGTCTGCTCCGATTGGTTAGCTTTCCGGCTCTGTTGTGATTGGTCAATGTTGGGATTTTAGCCTTTGCAGACCATTTACATGCACAGAAAACCTATATAACACACTACAGGAAAGGGATAACCACAACAAGCCTAATAGGGCCCCTTTAAACAGAAGTTCCTTCCAAGAAAATACTTCACTAATTTACAACATATTACTTCCTGTACTGTCACACACAAAACAAGCCAATAGAAGTGCAAGTGTTACATAGTGATGTGACTATGTTAGAAAAATCTCACTCGTCACCAGCTTGAGCTTCAACCTCAGGATCCATGTATCTGTGATCCTCTCCTGAATGGAAGTAGTCATCACATACAGAGCATCAACTAGTTCCTGAACAGTGTCCTTCACATACTGATATCCAAGAGAGGGAGTTACACAGTCACAAGATGGAGGAATGCTGCTTCTTGTTATCAAGAGTTTTTTTCTCAAAATGTTGGTTTTTTTCTCAAAATCCTGACTTTTTTTCAAAAATCTCAAAGATTATGACTTTTTCTCAAAAATCTCAAAACTTATGACTTTTTTCTCAAAATCATGACTTTTTCTCAAAGTTATGACTTTTTCTCAAAATATCTAAATCCTGACTTTGTCACGAACTAATACATCCTGTAATGTACACAGCTACAGTTGGGATACCCTTATCATGTGTACTCTGAGATTGGAAGAGTACATTCAGTATTTTCCAGAGGTGGGGACTCGAGTCACATGACTTGACTCGAGTCACATGACTTGACTCGAGTCAGACTCGAGTCGCATATTTTTTTATTTGAGACTTGCTTGACTAACATTGATAAAAGACTTGACTTGACTTTGACTTGGTATTCATGACTTGAGACTTGACTTAAGCTTGAGATAGATGACTTGAAAGGACTTGACGGTTTAAAATAAAATATTTGCGTTTGTTTTTGTAGTGAGATATTACGTTTAGTTTTTTCGAAAAACGTGATTATAGCGCCATGCGCGCAAACCTGGCAACCCACTAGAAGGCAGGAGTGTCCACACAGCAGCGTGCGTTGACGCTTGGAGGTGGGCATATCTGAAGCTTGGGGATTTTTTCCGAGCAACGCGACCAACAACCAATCACATGAATCTCCCGCCCCCGGCATACAAAGCAATAGCAATGTTAAAACGAAGTAAACTGGATATAAAATCCCCAAACAGGCGAAAACCTACCAGTTTCACCCACTGTCTCTGCCACCTCCCTCCATGCCTCGCTCCTCCGGTTTGTATCCCGGTAGATGAACAGAGACTGATCATACAGCACCGGGTGATTCACTACCGCTATAATGAATTTTCCCTCCATTTTTTGGAATATGAGGAAATGACCTGCGTAGTCTCTCCCAGCATACACGCGGTTTGATTGGCTAGCGCTTGTACTGGCAGATTTGCATAAACGGGATTTCATTGGCTGACGCCTCATCGAGGCGTCAAAAGTTGAACATTGCTCAACTTTTGAAGCCAGCAAAGCTCCACGTCGCTTCCCAAAATGCAGTTCGGCTAAAAGTGACGTCACCCCATTCAAAGTGAATGGGCAGAAGCGTTGGAAGCTTCAACGCACGTAATAAGAAGAGAACAGCGGTATGCAGGGTCTGCAGCATAAAGATTAGTGACACGACCACCACTACAAAAAAACCCACAGAGAAAGGTGCATGTGTTGTGTTAGCTAGAAAGCTAACGTTACATTTAAGCTACGTTAGACTTGGTTTCAAATCGATTAAGCAAAGAGAAGACAAAACTGAAAATTAACACTAGAACCGCGAGAGAGAGAGAGAGAGAGAGAGAGAGAGAGAGAGAGAGAGAGAGAGAGAGAGAGAGAGAGAGAGAGAGAGAGAGAGAGATGAGAGAGAGAGAGAGAGAGAGAGAGAGAGAGATGCCTCGTGTTATTATCAGAAGTTACTGTAAACTTTTGAATAATGTAGTTCATCTACTTTTAGTAGTTTGTTTAATTATGTTGTTTTTGTTTGTAGAAGTGCATCATTCTTTGATTTATTGTAAAAATGAATCTGAACTTTTTGATCTGTTATGATGATAAACTGAAGCAATTTCAAAATTAACCCAATTAAGTGAGTTTAAAATCGTCCTACTTAGTTTATAAGGAAATTATGAAGAGGAACAAATTAAATGATTTGAAAATGATATCTATGTAGGTGCTGACGTTGTTGGCGGTTCTAGTGTTAACAGACATTTAAATATTAAATATGTGTAATGGCAAATGCCATCTATGATTTTCTTACCTGGAATTCTGCCTTTTTGAACAGACTTTTTGAGTCCTAGCTATATTGTCTGCAGTTCTAGGTTTAATATGAATCTAATATGATTGTCATCGGTCTAAATTAGATTTGAAATGATTAACTGTGTATGTAATGAAGATCATAGTGTGGGTTGAATCCATTTTCATAACCACTGTCTTTTAACTGATTTAAATGTGGAAGCTGGGTTTATTCATCAGAATTTCGTATGACTTGATTTGACCTGAGCAATGACTTGACTTGACTTGCTTGACTCTCACCACAGTGACTTGAGACTTGCTTGATACTTGTAGGTCAAGACTTGAGACTTGCTCATGACGTGCACATGTAGGACTTACTCCCACCTCTGGTATTTTCCCAACACTATGATATGGAAGTAAACAAAGGGCGTGGGAGGGAGAGAAACTCCCTACACACGGATGTTAACCTTTGCAGACCATTTACATTCACAAAAACCTGTATAACACACACACAGGAGAGGGAGAAGCCTAATAATAGAGCCCCCTTTGTAAACCCCAAGGTCCCCGCCGGCGGGGACCCTGTTTTTTTTTCTCACGACACTGTGTCTCAGGGGATCTTAATATTTAAGAACCTATTAATGTGTTATACCAGATTAACGGAAATAATCTCAGCTAACTGACGATACAAACCATTTTTACCAAAACAAAACACAAGTCTCATAAGAAGCATCTAAATGACCCCTTAGCGAAAAATGCTAACGGACATTGGCACAGAACTCAAGATAAAAGTACCCTTATTACTTATCGTAGCTGCACATACAAGATATCCGATTAAAGCTGAGGTTCCACAGATTATTTAGGTATATAGTATCATCACTGAGTGATCCAGACTCGCGACAGGGGAAGCAAACATAGACATAGACATCACAACACGTACCTTTACGGAGCTTCTAGGGAGATCGTCTCACCGTAGCTGTCAATCTGATCAAAAGACGTGTTCAATGGCATTAAAACCAGAAAAAACGCGGCTGAATCGGTTAATCCATAGGTTTTTAACGTCTCTGTATAAAAAAAATGATTTAATTTATAATCCATAATTCAATTTTTATGTAAAAATCGGAGAGCAAATGTTAGCTGCTAATGGTAGCCACCAGAGTGGCTGCTGCTTCCGGTCTTGGCTATGCGGCAGTCTCACACACACACATGACCAAATAAGGACTATGTGGGAGTTCCCCTCGATTCCATTGGCTCTGACGGTCAGAAAGAGATGTCACATGTCAAAATCCAGCAAGGGGGGTCCTCACCTCCTCAAGGGGGGTCCGGGTGCATGCTCCCCCGGGAAGATTTTTTTTAAATATTGAAGTTAAAAGCATCAATCTGGTGCACTTTAAGAGCAAAATGAAGAGATCTATGGATACATCTCAACACCCATATGAAACAGAACTGTAAACAGATGTTTTCTTTATGGATATTTTACAAATCACCCTTTTAAGACCGAAATGTCATGCATAGCAGAAGATGGCATCTTTTTTACAGGAATATTCCAGCCAATCTCTGTTTTGAAACCATGATCTGCAAAATGAGCGCCTTACCCCACTGTACAGGCGAGTTGGATACTTTTTTAAATATACCTGGGCAGGCTCTGTTTTGCCGAGGTCCTCTGTCCCCAGGGGTGGCGGCGGTGTTTGGGGCAACGAAGACGGCTGCGGCTGCTCCGCCTCCGTGGGCGAGGAGGACGTTAGTGTCCACGACAGTGGCAGCGGGTAACGTATGTCCCCATGATCTGAACTGTTATTACCTGCAGTAGATGCAGTGTTGCTGCTGGCGATAAGGGCTGGTTGTTTTAACCATTTTCTGATGCTGTGTAAGCACTTTGCAAATGACGAACGCGCAGGGGCACATGTCACGCGCACCTGACATAATAACAGAGATAAGGAAAATCCACCCAAATGGCCCCAGAAGAGGTTTTTTTTTGCTAAATCTGTCTAAAAAGGTCAAATACCACTTGTTTTGCATCAATCTTGATACAGGGTACTTATTATATGTTGTACTTTGGATTCCTAAAGCTTTTAGTCTACTAACCCATCATCCAACGTTAGTTTTCACCAGGGCCGCCCCTCCCTACAGGCCAATCACGCAGGCTGCATGGGGCCCCGCCTTGCGCAGGGGGCCCCGCCCAGAGGGCCTCAGCTGCTGTGCGCAGTTCTCCGCTCAGTTCTCTGCGCACCCCCCGCGAGAGTGAGAGTGAGAGGTGACAAGGGGAGCACGTCTGTAACCCGACACCGTTGCAATGAATCGACATCTGACCAATCACGGCTTTGATACGGCCACTAGTGCAGGTGAAGAGATGTCGGCGAAAAGACAGTTTCAGTCCGGCGCATGTAAGAGGGAAAGAAAAAAAACATGAAGAAACTAGAGCATCACTCGAAGCCTTGGGTTATTGTATGAGTGAAATGTACAACTTGCTAATGTTGTATAAGTCAAATGTCATGTTGCCAATTGCCATATTAAAACATCAGCTGCAATTCACGACATGAAGAAGGCAGTCTCTGCAGAGCATACAGGCTAATGGAGATGCAGTTATTTCCAGCATTCTTTATTTAACATTCATTCAAGTATGTGATGCCTCTTATCTGCTAATGTACAGGAGGAAGAGTGATACACTGTCTGTCTAGTTGGCTTACATAACAGTTAAAGTTTACAGCCTAAAAAACATGGAGCATTTTTTCCCCTTTTATTCATTTTTATGTCAATTTGAACATTTCATGGTGATGCTCAGCCTCTCCCCTTAACTCCTAGCAGTCATCATCATGGTGACGCTCAGCCTCTCCCCTTAACTCCTAGCAGTCACCATCATGTCAACCACAACACAGAGAAATACTGATAGAAATGTGTGTGTAGTTGTTGATACATTGCTGACAGAGGGAACTAGAATACAGATTTAAGAAATGTCAGTTTTTGAGCATGTCATAAGCATGTTTTGTCTTGACTATATTACAACTATATTATAATAAAAATAATATAGTATTTATATTATTGAATTGATTATGATTATTATTAGTAGAAGTAGTGAGGCTAGTATTTGGCAGGAAATGCAGACGTATTCACCTGTAAACGCATACTGAACGACATACATGCACATTTACCATTTACCTCACTGTATAAAAAAGTAACTGTGTTGATAATAATAATAAACAGGAATTATATTTGCAAAGTAGCCTACTTTGTTTCCCAAAAAAAATGTTTCACTCCTGTCAGTTGTGGTGGGGGGGGGGCCTCATCTCACAATGTTGCTTGGGGCCCCAAGTTGGCCAGGGGCGGCCCTGGTTTTCACTATAAGTACCAAATATCTTTTGGACGGACACTATAATTTACAGTTTTTTACCATGTTCAATCTGAATGTTCTTTAAAATAAAAAACATTTATATTGAATCTGACTTTTCTACATCCAACTCACAGGTTTATCATTACTTTGAGAAAAAAGATTATTAATTAAACCCTTTTAGAAGAAAAGATATGGTCATTTGTTCTGGGAATGTCATTTTCGAGCCTGAGACCTGAAAAACAGGCTCGGGGTTTGTCAAGCAGGTTTTCTCTGTGCAAATCGCAGCATTTAAATATTGGAACTGAACACACAGCTTTATTTGAAGGTCGTCTCCCATACGATTGATGCAACATGCAAAAACATCAACATATGTGACCTAACACTAAGCCTATTCTTTTTAAATCATCATGTAAGTTAACGTGTAGGTTAACGTGTAGGTTAAGTCAGAAATGCATAGAAGCTCACACTGAACGTTTTCATAGACGAATTGTTCAAGGATTTCAAGGATATTCAAGTTTATTAACGCCCAAATGTTTACACTCCTGCTATGTTTTTCTTATCTTCCAGCACATACACAGCTGTTACATCAAGGATAAAGGCAAATAAAGATAAGGTGAGTCAAAGTGAGGTTAACATACAGTTTGTTGAATTGAATATCACATTACTTTTGATCAGACGTTATTTATTCTATTCTATCCTTCATAATGTTTTAGGTGCACTTCACTTTAAATTAGTTTTTTTCTCATACTGTTGCAGAAATCTCCATTTTAGTATCACTAACATTAACAACATGTAGTATATTAAGTCCTGACTGCATTCTAAAGGTTTAAACAGATGCTTTTAATGTTGTATATATTTAAATAAACCCCTTTTCAATCAATAGAAACATGTAAGCCTGCTTCCTCTGTCTAAGTCTTTGACCAAAATATGTCAACCAAATCAAAAAAATACTCTTAAATCTGGATTATTCAAAGGTAACATATTTAATAGGATAAAGCCTAATTTGCATGTTTAAATATAACATTTCATAAAATATTTTTTACAAGAAAAAAAACTGTTGAAGTTCATGGTTTTGTCTATTAATCCAAATGTTGACCTCAGTCACCTGTACGGTATATCTGTTTCTTTTTCAACACAGTAAATAACAAAGGATTTTTTAACAAATCCATTTATTTTGCAGGTGTTGATTTACAGTCCAACATTTCTCAAATACGTCTACGAGTCTTGGCTCGAAGGTCACGGACGATATCCTTCTACAGGTTTCCTCAGTTTACTGCTCGCTCTGCACATCTGTGACGAGGTGAGTCTTCATAAACACTTCCTGCTGAAATTCCTGTCAGAATACTGTGTGTGTGTCTGTCTGTCTGTCTGTCTGTCTGTCTGTCTGTCTGTCTGTCTGTCTGTCTGTCTGTCTGTCTGTCTGTCTGTCTGTCTGTCTGTCTGTCTGTCTGTCTGTCTGTCTGTCTGTCTGTCTGTCTGTGTTTTTATCATGTTGAGCTTAAGCATATTATTTTATGCATTATTTGGTCAATTATTTTTGCCTGAACAGAATAGTTATATTGGATTTTTGATTGTGTTTTTATTTCTGGAAAGTCCACTGGAGTTTATTGTTTAATAGATATATTAAAGTTAAACTAGGCAAGGCAATATTATTTATATAGCACCTTTCAACACAAGGCAATTCAAAACATGAAAGACATTAAGAAAATGGCATTTTAAAAAGCTAAGATAATAAAATAAACATTAAAAGACAAAATACATGAATAAAAGTTACAGTGCAGTGTGAGATATGAATAGTTTGGTTGAAACTAAACAACCTCTCTTGTTTGCTTTTGGGGGAAGTGTCTCTCCAGCACCCTTATCTAAAGACCAGTATTAGCCACTCTTTAAAAGAATTTGACATAATGTGAAAGCTGGAAAAAATCCCTTAATGATGAATAGTGCTGCGTACCTGGACTCACATTCAGGTTCAGGTCCGGACTCAAGTCCAGAGGTTCAGGTTCAGGTCCGGACTTATAAGTCCGGACCTGAACCCATGGCTTGTGTCAAGTTGTGTGAGAAACTAAAGTGAACTTATTGTGAGCTAATTATCAATTGAAAATAAACTCATAATCAACTCAAATTCAAACTCGTCAGGTTTATTGTGCTCCCTTCCAACTTGTGTCTACATTTCTTTACAAAGTACAAATGTAAAAAAAACACTTTTTGCCACTTAGTCTACAAATGACTTATGACAACTACAGTGAACTACTACAAAGTTCAAACATTTATTTCACCAAACAAAGGAGTTAGCTACACTACCAAATATCCAATATGGCGACCAGCAGCCCACACCGTCCACTATGTCTAAGCCAATCACATCGCTAGCTTTCCTTGACGTCACACAGATCTCTCGAGCAGTTGCGATATTTTGCGAGACTTCGTGAGTTCAGTAATGGCCGCCATATCAGAAGCCGACACGATGTTTTTCGTCTTTTCTCAGCGCACATTTCTCGATCTATGGAAGGTTTTAGATGGTTTAGAACAAAAAGGAGAATATACGTAAGTGCTAGTTTTTTTGCGAGTCCAAGTACCGGTTCCCGACGTTCCGGTTTTAACCGGACTTGAACCGAAACTTTTTACAAGTCCAGTACCGGTTCGGTGTACCGGTACGCAGCACTAATGATGAAGTGTTTAGTGCAGGGGTGTCCAAACTACGGACCATTTTGAATTGGCCCTCAGCAAATTCCAAAAGTATAATATTGAATAAAATATGGCCCACAAATTAAACAGCTGCTATTGTACTTCTTAAATACATATGTTCAATTATATAACACAGTATTCATGTGTTAATAAGCCCAATTTTCAAATAAATGCAGTCAATTAAAGTTGAAAACACGTTCTAACAAATCTTAGTTGATAAGAAAAAAGCCCAATAATTTATTTCCATAACAACCTTGAAATCTACCCTTCCTATTTCCTCTTATTATAATCAATCTGAGGCTTCTGTTTTAAGGGATGAGCTGCCAAGACAATAAATGAAACCCTACAGAGAGCTTTTTTCATCAATATCAACCATAATTTACCTACATTTGATTGATGTTTCTAACTTATGAAGCAATATACCTCTCGTGAGCGGCCCAGTCGATATGTTTCTGTCTGTGGCCCTCGGTGAAACACCCCTGTGTATCCATGATGTTCTACTGTGTTTGTGACACATTGCGTTTTGTTCCTCTTCTCCTCCAGGTCAATGTGTTTGGGTTTGGCGCAGACCAGTATGGAAACTGGCACCACTACTGGGAGGAAAACCATTTGGCCGGAGCTTTCCGACACACGGGAGTCCACGACGGAGATTACGAATATAATGTCACCATGCTGCTGGCAGACAAGCACAAAATCCAAATGTTTCACGGCAGATGATACAAAGCCAACATGTGCAGCAACCACGAAACTGGTCTACAGCCTTTCAATGTCTGACTTTTCATCGCCTCACTCACGCTGGAAGAATGTCATTTTCGTGTTTCAAAAGACATTCTCCGATGAACTTTTCTGCTCCGACCGGTTTCCCTTTCTTTACCTAAGACAATGATTGAGTAATGCTACCTATTGAGATAGAACAGAACTTCACTCTCTGTGTTTCCAGACAACGACAGACCGCCAACAATTCAGAAGTCACACTGCCATTGGTTTGTGTAATTCCTCCGGACAACACAATGGTGGAATTCAACAAGCATGCAAATAAGGACTGCTTTTGTACTGTTGTATAGTATAAGTCCTCCAACACAGATTTTTACTATAATACGTCACCTGGGCTGGCTAAAAATAACATTTATTGCATATAAGGGTACAAACAGTGTATGCTTGGAGAATCCACTCGTTCCCCATTACACTGATAGATTGGGACATCATTCTCATAAAGGACTTGCATATTAGATTAACACATTACATTATCCAAAGTGATTTACATACTCAATACTGTGGGTAATCCCCACAGGAGCAATTTGGGATGAAGTGTCTGAGGGACACAACAACATGCTGACTGCAGTGGGGTTTGAACCTGTGACCCCCTGATCCGAACACCAACGCACTAATCCACTGTGCCACACGCCTGGCCATGGGACACTCCGACATTAAGTCCAAAATCAGCCCCAAAGATCGCACTTTTTAGCATATTATGATATTTACAAATTGTAGCCAGGGTTTTAGAAGTGCTCACGTCTGAGTCTATCTACACCGAGAAAAATAAGGTTTAAAGTTATTTGAATCAGTCCAATTTGATTTAGTCATTCATTTGTTTAATATTATTCCCTGTACATATCTCAACATAGAGAAATTGATGTTTCAAAGCCACTTGAAATGTCATTCTGTTACGGCCCGTCCACACAGCAGCGTGCGTTGACGCTTGGAGGTGGGCGTGTCTGAAGCTTGGGGATTTTTTGCGAGCAACGCGACCAACAACCAATCACATGAATCTCCCGCCCCCGACATACAAAGCAATAGCAATGTTAAAACGAAGTAAACTGGATATAAAATCCCCAACCAGGCGAAAACCTACCAGTTTCACCCACTGTCTCTGCCACCTCCCTCCATGCCTCGCTTCTCCGGTTTGTATCCCGGTAGATGAACAGAGACTGATCAAACAGCACCGGGTGATTCACTACCGCTACAATGAATTTTCCCTCCATTTTTTGGAATATGAGGAAATGACCTGCGTAGTCTCTCCCAGCATACACGCGGTTTGATTGACTAGCGCTTGTACTGGCAGATTTGCATAAACGGGATTTCATTGGCTGACGCCTCCGTCGAGGCGTCAAAAGTTGAACATTGCTCAACTTTTGAAGCCAGCAACGCCAGCAACGCCAGCAACGCCAGCAACGCTCCACGTCGCTTCCCAAAATGCAGTTCGGCTAAAAGTGACGTCACCCCATTCAAAGTGAATGGGCAGAAGCGTTGGAAGCTTCAACGCACGCCGCTGTGTGGACGGGCTGTTAGGGTTAGGAAATACGAAATACTCTCCTTACTCTCCTGCACCAGACCGTGCAAACTGTAGATGGAAAACTAGAATAACAATTTAAATGTGAGCAGGCAATGATTAAAACACATCTTCAGGGGATGATTGTTGGAGCGTTCTTCTTTGGCCTGCAGTAAATGTCAGAGAAAGAGTTTCTAAAGTGAAGCCATCGATGAGGTTTTTAATCACTCAGTGCTATGAAGAAAAATGATTGAGGTGTCAAGGTGTTTATCTTGGAAATGTGACATACAGCCTATACAGGGGTGCCTTATTGTGAAAAATCAATTGTACATTTTTTATATCAATGTGACATATATTATTCATAAAAAAGTAGGTGTTAAGTGCCTTCTAATGGGAGGATTTAAAGACTTAATGTTCTCCATAAAATTGTACTTTATTGTAATATTAATCAGCAGTTTAACTACATTCGTTTAGTTTATACTATTGTATTTGTCAAGTATCATATGCCTGATACAAACATTAACCATATTGTCTGTAAGTTTGTCTTAAAGTCTTGCACTTTCACAGCTATGTTTTGATGTTGTTAGCTGCAGTCGCTGAACTTGATGTAAAAGCTTTGTGACGATGTGTTATCAATTTCACCAAAAAATAATCTGTGATCTGAAATGTTATTTCAGATGAGTCAGGAATTGAGCTTGCTGGTGCTTATATGGTATGATTTGCTCCATGTGCCTTAAAACATAATGCCCGATCAATGTCTTCATTTTCTTTCTTTTTCTCTCTCCGGGTATAACAGACTGATAAACACATCGTTTGTTTAAATTCAAATATGTCAGCCACCATGCAGACAACAGTACATATTTTCTATGAAGGGATACTGCCCCCTAGTGGACAACAACATGTGTTTGCATAAACATCCCTTTATTGGTGCAATTGTACACTGATGTAGTATTGACTCATTTAAATCTGAATTTAAACACATCTATATCCGTCACACTTCTTATTTCCATCCAGTTGAGGTCTTAATTGTTATATAAAACCCATTAAAGCGGCACTTCGTTGATTTTTTTCCATTTTCAAGTCATTGGTACTAACTTGTGTGGGAGGGATGGATGATAAAACAAACTCAGATATTCAGTTTTCTTTACACGAAAACTCAAATGGAGCCTGCTATACTGAAAAGGGCAAGTAGGTTAAATAAATATAAATAATACAATGTGCAGCTTTAGATATGTTTTTTTTAAGGGAAGCAGTACAATACAGGTCTCATTTCACAAATTTCCCCTCCTCGACTCCTCGAATCCTCGGTCCTCCGGTAGTGACCCGGAAATGGATTTCAGCGCGCCATGTTGAAGGACATCTAGGCCCAATCCCAAACCACTCCCTCGACCCTACCCCTCCGTGACGGAGTGAACTCCGTCTGTAGCCACACTCGCAGCTCAACGAGGCTCCCTCCTGTCAGATGGAGGGAGTAAATACAGCAGCAAGCTTTGGGACGGCCTCCCCTCTCTCCGGCAGAACTGTAACTGTATGTAACAACGGTTTCAAATCAGCATCTCTTAGACAAAAAATGTAAACTAAACACGTAAAAGTGTAATAAAATACAATTAAATCAAAGAAAAAGTCTTGGAATATTGCCTTGATATTAAAATGATGGCTTGTTTGTAAAACAGAGGGACCTCCAGGGAGGACACATTTTCTTTGGGTGGAACATTTGCCAAAGCTGGTAACTTAGCATGGCATTTAGGCTACCAGATTTTTGCTATTCCCAGACAGTGTATTGAAAAAAGCTTTTATTATAGCCACATGTTATTGCTCTTATACTGTGATTATTGTTGCCAAGTATATGCATCTGTTTTGTTTAACTGCCAATCACAGGAGTATTGTGTATAGAAAGTGTTGAGCAATATATCTCATATTTGTTGGTGAGCATCACGTTGAGAGTTTAAAATATTAACCAATTTGAAGGAGAAAGAACAACAGACTTCTTTTATACTCCGACAGAAAAGATACAAATGAACAAAAAAGCTTGAAAGCTAACAAAGATTTGGTGAGTATTATCTATTATACAGTTCATGGGAATGAGCTAGTTAATAAATGTCAGATAACATCTAAATGTAATCGTGACCAGGTGATGATCCTCAGTCCAGCTTTCATGAAATACGTTCATTTGAATTGGCTCAAGAAGAAGGGCCAATATACCATCCACTGGGATTATGACTGTGATTCTCAGCATCTTCATGTGCGATAAGGTATGTTCATTGTGAAATCAATATTATAATTGATATGGATCATTTAAGAGGTATTGGTAGAAAGTAGGGATGGGAATTTGAAAGAAAATGTATATTCGAATATTCAACCCCCAAAAAAATGGGAAAAATGTTGAAAAAAAGAAGAATTACATTTGGAAAAATAAATATTATTCAAAAAAATACATGTTCAAATAAGTATAGAAACCAAGTCGAATTTGTCAAATGTATTGAACTGGTGATCACAGTTTGAACAGTTGACAGCTATAGGCTACAGCTTTCATGCTTAAAACACAACTTGGTTTTTAAATGAAAGAGGGATCATCAGAGGTGGGGACTCGAGTCACATGACTTGACTCGAGTCGCATATGTTTTGACTTGAGACTTGCTTAACTAACTTCCTTTGACTTGGTATTCATGACTTGAGACTTGACTTAAGCTTGAGATAGATGACTTGAAAGGACTTGACTGTGTACAATTAAATATTTGCGTTTGTTTTTGTAGTGAGATATTACGTTTAGATTTTTCGAAAAACGTGGTGGTTATAGTGCCATGCGCGCAAACCTGGCAACCCACTAGTAGCCAGGCGTGTCAGTTAACATGGCAAAAAAAACACAGAGAAAGGTACGTGCATGTGTTGTGTCAACACATCCTCACTCCCAGGTCGGCCTATGTTGACGTTATGTCAAGTCCCCTGTCGGCTTTTTCCAACGCAAGGGGGGGGGGGCCTTAGCGTCCATTTTCAACGCAAGGGGGGCCCTTAGCGTCCATTTTCAGCTTTCCGGGATGTCCATATGCTTCTATAGACGCTCATGGAAGCACGGCATTCGTTTGTGTCGGCTGCCCTTAAAGGCAATGTGAGCGTCCATTCTCATTGGATAACGGAGAATTGTACACCCGGAAGTAAGTATTCCCCTTACTGTCGATTGATTTTACAGTGATATCTGCACTACTCATCGACTAAAAAACACCAGATTATCCTTGTTAATTACACAACATTGATTGGTTTAAATTGTGTGCAATGCTTTTGTATTTTTCCCCTTCGATTCGGAGAAACAAATATGTTTTCGGAGTAAAGGATGGCAGAAGACACTACACTACCCAGAATCCCCAGCTATCGTTTGGACTACACCATGTGCTCTGTTTGACGTCACGTGATCTTCAAATTTCTCCCTGAAGAAAAAAAAAACATGGCCGAACTTCGTTTTATTCTCGATGGAAAATGCCTATTTTAAAGTTAGTTTGGCCATTAAAATGCGTTTTGATGTCATTTGATGCGAGAAATATGAGTTGTTATTTCAGATGATGTGTGCAGTGGATGTACATGATCTTTAGTTTGCTAGTTATTACGAAGATTACTTCAGGAAATTGCGTCCATAACGTTTTCATTGTTACCAAGGTGGTTGCTAGGGACGCTGCTATCGATATTATTTCTGTTATGTTGTGTAACTGTTTAATGGTGTTATCTTTATTGCTACCCCCTTCCCCGTCAATGTATAGTGTTGGTCCACAGCGCAAACGTATTAGTTTAACAAAATCCGCATCTAAAGATAGCCTACGTTATTTTCCCCTGTGCAATTCCAGTCTCACATCTCACAGCACATCGTCATTAACAAATACCGGAAACAGACCGAAAACATTGAAAAAAAATACAATAATACTTTATTCCGAGTGTGCTTGCTTTTCTCTTTTGAAGTCATCACATAACGGCATTGTAATACACGGTTCGGCTGCATTAAATATTACATATCTGCCGTAGTTCTGTATTTATAGAGCCCTGATGAGAAGACTTCTAGACAAACATGAGGAACTGAAAACGTGACGTGGATCATAAATATATCAGCCATTAAACAACATCTTACATTTCTTTTCACACAATACGTCTCCTTGCAGTATCAACACTAATTCGGCTGACTTTTATATTTGATCCAATTGGTAGATAGGCTGTATTTACACCATAAAGGTGCACAGCTGATATAAAGGGACACCTAGTGGTTAAAGCATGTTATTGAATTTCATTATTTGTATCATTAGATATTAATAGGATCCCTATAAAGTATATTAATTACTCGTTATTCTCTACTAATAGTTCATTAAAGACTGTATATAATGACTATTTTGCACATCCCTTTCAAGATTTCAAGATGTTCTAAGGTTTATTGACATATCATATAGGCCTACACAACTATGGTGTAGTTATGCATTGAATGAAAAACTTGGGTCGCAGGTTCCTCAATAGTGCATTACAAGACATCTATCAATATTTGTGCGTACCTCCAGCAATGTTAACTATGTTGAAGCACTTCTTTTAACTGATATTATACATAATGTATTATACTCTTATAAGATGTATGTAGATATTTCATCTCCGACCTTGTCGGGTATTGAACAATCAATAAATAAAGAACACAGAATTGTTGAATATAAAACACAGAATTTGTGTGATTACACTAAATTATTTACAAATAAACACCACTGCATATTTAACTGTTACACATGCTGATGTAACGCAAATGTTTCAACTTGAGATCAATAAAGTATATCTTATCTTAAGCTGATCGATGGCTATATTGCCATATTTGCAAAATGTGTCTCTGAACCTTAACAAGTGCATGTTTCAGGCTTATCAATTAATGTAATGTAATGTAATGTTATCAATTAACAACAGGGGTCACAAACATAAGACCAGCTGTTAAATAAAGTTCTTCTGACCTTAGCTGGCATGTGTGTATATATATTAATGCTGCCCATTATGGGCACAAGCAATCTTCACCCATTTATTAATTATATGTTTTAAATGTGAGTGTTTCCTATCCCCTAAACCTCCAGGGATGTACACAGTTTAATACTGGCAACTTCTTATTATGGGAAATACGAAAACGTCTTTTAAAACTACAACTCCCAGTAGAGACGTGCCATAGATACAGAACATGTTGCGAAACAGAATAGCCAGCATTTGTAGTTCTGGGGACAGGGTGGGGGAGGGGGGGGACGCGGTGGACCCGTTCAAATCCAGTTTTGGACAGTCTGCGTGGTTCCATCCCATTTCAAGTGCTGTTCGAGGCTCGGCGTAACCCTCGGAGCACACTCTCCAATCACAGAGCTTGAGGACTATCACGGGGTTTGTCAAACAGAGCACATGGTGTAGTCCAAACGATAGCTGGGGATTCTGGGTAGTGTAGTGTCTTCTGCCATCCTTTACTCCGAAAACATATTTGTTTCTCCGAATCGAAGGGGAAAAATACAAAAGCATTGCACACAATTTAAACCAATCAATGTTGTGTAATTAACAAGGATAATCTGGTGTTTTTTAGTCGATGAGTAGTGCAGATATCACTGTAAAATCAATCGACAGTAAGGGGAATACTTACGTACAATTCTCCGTTATCCAATGAGAATGGACGCTCACATTGCCTTTAAGGGCAGCCGACACAAACGAATGCCGTGCTTCCATGAGCGTCCATAGAAGCATATGGACATCCCGGAAAGCTGAAAATGGACGCTAAGGGCCCCCCCCTTGCGTTGAAAATGGACGCTAAGGCCCCCCCCCTTGCGTTGGAAAAAGCCGACAGGGGACTTGACATAACGTCAACATAGGCCGACCTGGGAGTGAGGATGTGTTGAAGAAATCGCTGCATGTCTTCGGATTACATCTCTGGACTTGAGGGGTGTGCTTTAGGTCGTTACCAGCGTAAACTAGAGCTGTGTGGGTTGTTACAGACTGCCTGCAGATGTATGAAAAAACGACAGTGGCCTTCGTCGATTTTGGCTGCATCTACGTCTATCTTCTGGAAACACCAGGTGAATACCCCACTTGTCACAATAATATTATCATGCCATTGCATATATGTGGTATTTTAGAGTTGACTAGATATTGATTAAGGCAATAGACTATGATATTCAGTACAGGAAGCTTAGCAACACCTAGACGGTGTACGGCTGCTTGCACCTCGCGTAAAACGGCGGATACCGGAAGTACGGTGTCGCCCTCGGCCCAATACCCGTATGTGTGTGTGAAAGAATGATGATAAACTGAAGCAATTTGAAAATGAACCCAATTAAGTGAGTTTTAAATCGTCCTACTTAGTTTATAAGGAAATTATGAAGAGGAACAAATTAAATGATTTGAAAATGATATCTATGTAGGTGCTGACGTTGTTGGCGGTTCTAGTGTTAACAGACATTTAAATTAAAAATGTGTAATGACAAATGCCATTTATGATTTTCTTACCTGGAATTCTGCCTTTTTGAACAGACTTTTTGAGTCCTAGCTCTATTGTCTGCAGTTCTGGGGTTAATATGAATCTAATATGATTGTCATCGGTCTAAATTAGATTTCAAATGATTAACTGTGTATGTAATGAAGATCATAGTGTGGGTTGAATCCATTTTCATAACCACTATCTTTTAACTGATTTAAATGTGGAAGCTGGGCTTGTTCATCAGAATTTCGTATGACTTGACTTGACCTGAGCAATGACTTGACTTGACTTGCTTGACTCTCACCACAGTGACTTGGGACTTGTTTGATACTTGTAGGTCAAGACTTGAGACTTGCTCATGACTTGCACATGTAGGACTTACTCCCACCTCTGGGGATCATACACGAACAACCTAACGAGTTAGGGTAACGTAACCCTATTACAACAGAGATCAACCTATAACAGGGCCTATGCACAGAATGCAGCTATTCAATACTCTTGTTTAAGAATATGAGCATGTCTACTCAGGGGAGAGGCGGGTGCGGAGGCGATTCACAATCAGGCCAGCTGTAGAGGAGACCCTCTCAGCTGGAATTTGGGCATAAGATGAGGTTTGAGTCTGCGTGATCTGCGTGTCAGCAGCCATATCGTTAGCTACAACTCGCTAGATCTGATGGATTTGGACATAAACGCGAGTGAAGTATAACCGGACGCGAGAGAGAGGGATCAGCACCTGCAGCTCTGCCCGCTGTGAGGGACCGTGAGCGGAGCAAAACACACCTTTAGACCTAACACACTTAGCTATGGCACTGTCGCATACATTGAATTATTCCATTTGTTCATATGTAATCAACTTAGGCACCCCTCCCAAAAAAAATATTCTAACTCATATTCTCATATTCGAATACCTGAATAATTTCGAATATTCGATTAATCGTTCCCATCCCTAGAAAGAATGGCCTATCAACAAATGTTCTAACTGGATTAAAATGGTTCAACTTAGCTATTATATTTTGTTCAACTACCTTGTCTTTTTGTCTGTTTGCATCAAATGTAAAGTGTACGTTTCCTGGGTTCTCATTGTCACGTGTTAAAGCAAATCTATGGAATGGTATTATATTATAATGTGTTAAAAAGTCAAATGGGTAATTGCTAATTATGTCATAAAATCCACGATAACAATCATATCCAATTTAAATCCATTTAACATTCAGTGTATTCCTGCTGTTTTCACAGGTCAGTGTGTTCGGGTTTGGAGCAGATAAACATGGAATATAGAACCATTACTTTGGAAAAGTACTTCATTTGAGTATACGGAGAAAAACTGGCAATCATCCTGGCTGAAATGATTAATGAACTATTTAAGCGAAAGAAAATAGATTTATACAGAGGATGGTGAATATTGACATAAAGATCACCTATGACTTTATTTATAAATTCCCGTCATTTTACCAGAAAAAGGGCAGTTTGGTGTGGTGGCAGAAATGAAGTTGTTTTTCTATTTCACACATGTTTATTGTTATCGCATTTACATGTAGGTTTGGAAACTTGTCTTAGAATCAAGTCTTTTGTCCTTCAGTACAATGCCACCAAGTGTTTCCTGTTTTCTATTTAAAGGTCACCTATCATGCTATTTGTAGGCAATAGCAAAGGTCTCAGATATATAAAAAACATGTCTATGAAGTGTTTTGCTCAAAATACCAAACAGATCACCCATTCTAGCCATGCCTCATATCCCTCTATTTCACTTCCTGTTTCAAAAGTGCTGATTTGGGGTATAAAGCTTTAAAGAGGAGGGGTCTGAGCTCATGCGGGACCCGGCAGCTACTGTCTAAACTAAATACTAAGTGCACAAACTTATCTCGTGCCCTCATTGGTCATGTGTACGTTCGTGTGTGTTGGAGGAGGGGCTCTGTAAGGAAGTGGCAGATTTTTTCCGGCAGTGTATTTTCAAATTCTAGCGCACTCGAGCTGGTTTCTCCAAAATTACCTACCCCACCTTTAACTCACTTGTACAAATAATAATTCAAAAGAGTATTTGCAGAAGTAGGAATAGTGTACACAACTGACTGACCTTTCCTGTCACAACACTGGGTGCTCAGATCTATCCACTTCACTAATGGCATGCAGCCAAAACATACCCATTGTTTTGGGCGTCTTTATATGGGATGACATGTTTCATGTTTGTGGCGGCCGGCCCATAGGGGCGCTAGGGGCCCCACCCCACCTCTTCCCACATACAAAAAAATATATTAAAAAAAAATTAAATTTAAAAAATATATATTTAAAAAAAATATATATTTTATATTTTTATTTTTAATTAACAAGCTAAATATCATACAATTGGTATCAGTAAAATGTATAATCTACAATAAAATCTCGTTTAAATTGTGTTACGATGTCTAAAGTTACTGATAAATCACATGTTTCCTGCCTGGCCTTGCCCGTGGCATTAGTTTATCATTTCCGGGCGGAGCCCCCGAGCCAAACAGCAGCAACCAGCACGTTGCAAAAGTCTTAATAGTAAACTGTGCCGCCGAAACATAATTTCAGCCAATCAGCGCCGTCAAATATTTTGGTCACGAGGGCGCTCGCGTTGGCGCCCACGTTGCTTACGTGCGTTGACGTGAGTTGCTTTTTAGACTCGTGAGTGACCAAGGTGACGTAGTAGTTGGATGAGAATGGTGTGCAGGTGGAGTCGCCGGACCTCGGTCCGCACCCAAACAGGTAAATGCTATCTTTTGTTTCACATGCTTGCTCTTCAAACAGCCGGGGACAGATACGATCTGTTCAGAAACTAGACAAAAGTTAAACAAGTACAAACCACAGACTGTCTGTGTCATGGAGAATACAGTCGCTGGTTTATTTATGTCTGTATAGGCCGGTGTTGTGAGTGTGGACGGTCGGAGCATATATAACGTTAGCTTAGCCAAGCTCCATTCAGAAACAAGCATTCTAAAAGGTTTTTCGCCTGCCGTCTGTCTGCAGACTTGTCAAAGCATTAATTCATGGTTTTTACTAACCGGTATTAGTATGTTGTTACGTCGGCATAATTTAGAAACGTGTATTACATTTTAATCACGGTAAAATATGTTCATTTTGTTGTAGTTGTAGCTCCCGAGCCAGCGCGTCTTGTTTGAATGATGCGAGTTTTACACAGCTGGCAGCCGCGGTGAAACTCGAGCGACGAGAGCGATGCGATAGGAGCGTTTAGAGCGAAGCGAAGATTCGCATCGCGTCCGGTCTGAACGCAGCATTAAAGCGAGCTCCGCGCTGCACTGGAAACGCGCCATTACATCACCAGAAGTCCTAATTTAAGGGGTCATTTCTCCCAAAAAAAATTGTTTACTCACTACATCAACAGCCCCACCAAAAATATTTTCCACCAGCCGCCAATGCACAGTTAATTTCCTTCTTTAGCAGCCTTAGGGAGAGCAACTGGACTCCTGTATTTGAATGGAATGTATGTTAAGGTAAGAGTGACACATATTTGGACGTATGTTAACTGTTGGTGTGTTTGTCTTTCACATATTTGTTCTTGTCATTAATCGTTGTCCTTTATGATGTTGTTAATGGAGCTGCTATGATACAAGATAACCTTTAGACTTGATCTTACAATAAAGTATCATGGTATAGTAGGCCTATAGTTGTTTTGAGAATGGTTAACTTGACTTAAGACATTTACCAGCCTTTACCTTAAAAATGTTTAGTTTTGCATTTCATTTTATTAATTCGCTTTTAAAGTAAGGCCAAAGTACATTCTTTCAACACCCCCTACACCCATTTTTATTTTAAAGATATGTCACCAGACAGGTCTGTGTCCAAATAATTGTTTTCAGAACCCAAACCTGCTTGGTACACAGTGTGATCAAGTCACAGGAGATATATCTTTTAACAGCACAGTAATGATTTATTTGATTGATGTATATACTGCATTGTCTTGTTTATGTTTCTTATGCTGGTGTTATATATTGTGTATCTTGTTTTGTATGTGTTTGTATGGCGACCTTGAGAGCCTTGAAAGGCGCTTATATAAAATAAATGAATTATTATTATTATAGTAACACAATAGAGAAAACAGAACTTACATCAAACAGAAGTACCTTCTATTAAATATTACACAAATACAATACAATAAAATAGTATTGTATTTGTGTAGGACTCTGAGTGTTTAGATAGTTAACTTTAGTCTAAGTTATCTCAGTGGGTCTCAAACGGTTTGGTCACCCATTTAGGCCTATGTCAACAATTATTTCCGAGGCACACCTTCATATGATCATTATAGCCTAGTTAAATAAACAAGAGAATACATGAAAAACAGTTATGAAATACTATATGACAGTAAAACAACTAACCCTAACCCAATACAGTTTAAAAGGGGAGTGATTTGTAAATATCCATGAAGAAAAAGAAAATCTGTTTACAGACAGTTCCGTTTCATATGGGTGTTAAGAGATGTATCCATAGATCTCTTAATGCTGCTCTCAAAGTGCACCAGATTGATGCATTTAACTTCAATATTTAAAAAAAACATCTTCCCGGCCGAGCCCAGACCCCTAGAAGAGGTGAGGACCCCCCTAGAGGATATGAGGTCCACCCCCCACTTGTAAAACTGCACTTTACCCCTGCTTACACCTATATGCTGATTATCGAGCCTTCGTTGTAACAGTCGCGGGTGTACTGTGTATGTGCGTGTGGGGAGTGTTGCAGTAGAACATTCAACTGTAGCGCCCGGTACATTAATGGGAAACCCTAAATGTTTGAGCACCTTCTATGAAACGTCAAACTACCCCACAGCAGCCCCAAAAGAAAATCTCTGGCGCCGCCACTACCTGTAAAACATGAACAACAGGCTGTCGCTGTCCAGGTTGCTAGGCGACAGTGCTACGGACCGCGGGCATCAGTGTCAGGTGACGCAAACAGGAAGTCCTCCGTAAACCGGAGCGTCTCATTCCGTAGACCGCTCGGTTTGCTGTTCTTTCACTTTATTTTTATATACATTTATTTTTGGACGAAAACTTAGCGTGAGGAAAGGCATGCGTGGCCTGAGTACGTGATATATGGGTTAATTGCGTGACTCTCACGCTCAATGCGTGAGGGTAGGCTATAATAATTTACCTCCAGTACTGAAACACATGCAGAACAATGTGGTATCCAGCAGCCCTGAAAGTGACAGATATAGGGATGAGATTAAAAAAGAAAAATAAGGTGTTGACTGAATTTATTTCAAAAGCAACACCAGCCTTCAGGGGGTTCCTCTATAACGATTGGAGTGAACTATGTCTTTGTTTTGCTGTCAGGACTGTTCATTCATCTTGGTTCACCGTTGTATTTCTCACATATTGTATCCACAGATTGGATGTGATCCTCACTTAAGAACCTCCAGTTGCCAAGATGAATAGAACAATCTTGTTTTGGATTTTCCTATTGTGGATCACTGCCATTGGAGTGTTTCATTCGTCTTCATGGATTTCATCTGTGTACCACGAGTCCTTTTCCCCTCGAGAGAACCAAAGTCTTTGTGCATGTCGCAAATGTATGATGGAGTATGAGCCATGGTTTACTGAGTTGATGAAAGCCTCTCCAGATCCCATTCTGACACCAGAAAACAAGATCTCAGCGGATGACTTTAAATGGTATCAGGTAAATATCAACTTTTACAATCTTTAAAGACACATATACACTTTATGACTTCTGTGTTTTCCAAAATAATATTACTAAAATAATCACTGACTGCGTATTTACATGTTCCCTCCAAATCAGCATCTTGCATCTGATCGAAAGTACATTTTTCTTTTAGTTCTGAAAAGTCATAATTCTGAGTAAAAAATGTTGAACTGAGATTATATTCAGAATTCAGAGATTATTCTCAGAACTCAAAAAACGTTGTTATGTTACTTTTGATAAAATCCAAAAAATAATTCACATATGGCCCTTGTTCTTTTTTTGTTGCTGTAACGGAGCGTCCACACTACAGCTTCAAAAAAAGCTTGGAGCTGGGCGTGTCTGAAGCTTGGGGATTTTATTCAAGCAACGCGACCAACCACCAATCACATGAATCTCCCGCCCCCGACATCCAAAGCAAAAACCCCCGGGGATTTTATGGGAGCAATATATATATATATATAAACTCCCCAAACAGGCGAAAACCTACCAGTTTCACCCACTGTCTCTGCCACCTCCCTCCATGCTTGGTTCCTCCGGTTTGTATCCCGGTAGGTGAAGAGGGTCTGGTCATACAAAACCGGATAATTAGTTTCTCCTCCATCTTTTTTTGAAATATAGAAATGAACGGCGGGATATCTCTCCCAGCTTAGACGCGGTTTGATTGGCTACGGCTTGAGCTGTCAGATTTTCCGAAACAGGATTTGATTGGCTGGCGCTGGCTATACATCAATATGTGTCCCCGGTGTGTCAGGGAACTCACAAAGTGTCAGAATATAAAACCCTCTCTCTTTTCCTCCGTACCCACATCTCTAAAAACGGGGGTACAACGGAGTTGATCCAGAATTGCTGCGTCATGACGACATTACTAAAATGTGGGCTGGTTTTACTCCCGCGGTCCTATCAGAAACAATGCAACGTGTCTTGGATGTAATATGGTGTTTGTCTACATTAGCAAGTATCGCTAACACTCAGAGATAACTTGTGCTGAAGAGAGTATCACTGCTCGCATGCGGACTCCAAAGGGGCGTGGCCAGCAGCTCCAAATGGGGCGTGGTCAGCAGCAGCTCGGGTTACATTTAAAGGGCCAGACCCAGAATCAGCACATTTGTAACAGGGCTGAAATAAAGGGATATGAGGCATGGCTACAATGGGCAATCTGTTTGGTATTTTGAGCAAAACACTTCAGAGACATGTTTTGTATAGGTATGGCCCTATAATATATTGTTAAAATATAGCATAATAGGTGAGCTTTAAAGGTGGGGTAGGTACGTTTGAGAAACCGGCTCGAGATACACTTTTTGTTATATTCCATGGAATGCTCTTAACATCCCGATAGCAATGAATATCTGAAGTGCTTTGACAAAAAATCCATAAAAAAATATCATCTGTGGAAGCCGTGGTACTGTAAAAAGCACGACCAATCATCTGAGCCGGCTAAAGTAACTGGATGGCCTACCTGCCTGTCAGCCTTCTATCTGTGCACAAACTTATCTCGTGCCCTCATTGGGCATGAGCGCGTTCGTGTGTGTTGGAGGAGGGGCTCTGTGAGGAAGTGGCAGATTTGTTCCGGCTGTGTATTTTCAAATACTAGCACACTCGAGCTGGTTTCTCCAAAATTACCTACCCCACCTTTAAGTGAACTGCACAGTGGGTTCTGATAAAGTAATTTGTAAATGAATAGCTAGCTCCCTATGAATGTGGTGCACATCATTGTTAAAGACAATCTGTTCTTGTTATGTGTTTCAGAGAATACAGACAGACAGACGCGGCTTCGGTGTCTACAATAAAACAGTGAATAAAGTATTTAAAATCTTCCCACGCAGAAATGATTCACCTAAGCCCAGCCCTAATCGCTGCAGGACTTGTGCTGTGGTGGGAAATTCTGGTAATTTGAAGAGATCACACTATGGACCTCTAATAGATTTTCATGATATCGTCATAAGGTAATAAATCATCAGCTTCAGTGTTAAAGGTCACCCATTACGCAAAATGCACTTTTTGATGTCTTTTATACATAAATATATGTCCCTGATGTTTAAGGAGGCTCACAAAGTGTCAGATAATAAAACCCTCTCTCTTTTCCTCCTTATCCAAATCTTTAAAATGCGGGAACAACGGAGCTGATCCAGATTTGCGTCCGATATGACGTAATATCTGAAATATGGACCTATCAGAAACGTTGCTATCAGAAACAATGCCCGACTGTTTTGGACGTAATATGGTCTTTGTTTACATTAGCAAGCATCGCTAACACTCAGAGCTAACCTGTACTGGAGAGAGTATGTGTAAAAAAGCAGGAAACAAAAAGGAACTCACCTTGTGGTAAACCTGAGAGAGAAAGCATTTGAGCTCCAATCCTTGATGTGGTTTTGAACATGATATGGCGTTTAATTTAAGCAACGTTTAGCTGAGTTTCTGCCGAGTAGACACTCTTCTCTTCACAGAGCTCACTGCTTGCATGCGGACTCCAAAGGGGCGTGGTCAGCAGCTCCAGAGGGGCGTGGCCAGCAGCAGCTCGGATTACATTTAAAGGGCCAGACTCAGAATCAGCACATTTGTAACAGGGCTGAAATAGAGGGGTATGAGGCTAGGTGATCTGTTTGGTATTTTGAGCAAAACACTTCAGAGACATGTTTTTTATAAATATGGCCCTATAATATATTGTTAAAATATAGCATAATAGGAGAGCTTTAAGTGAACTGCACATTATTTTGGAATTGATTTTGAGAACTAAGGTGGAATCCTTCAGACACTTCACCCCAAATTGCTCCTGTAGGGATTGCCCACAGTACTGAATGTATGTAAGTCGCTTTGGATAAAAGTGTCTAACAAGTGACATGTAATGTAATATATTAAAGGTCCCCTATTATACTATTTTTAACAGTATATTATATGCCTCGGATATATACAAAACATGTCGTCATTGCAGCATCCCATAAACCCCTCTGCTTCAGCCCTGTTTCAAAAGTGCTGATCATGTGTCTGTAGCTTTAAATGCAAATGAGCTGCTGCTGGCCACGCCCCTCTGAGAGATGATTGGTTTTAAAACACAATGGTGCTCTAGGAGGAGATTCAGGCGATAAGGCGGGACCTTGGTTGTTTATTGGCTAATGGTTGCACAACCCCCAAAAAACATTTTGACATTACAAATTAATCAGCTCATTTTCAGACAGGTTTTTATATTGATGGATCAGGTCAAAAACATAGGGAAGATTTTTTTCCTGAAACTAATCGAATCTCTTAACACAGAGACGACACATGTATAAAAGACATCAAAAAGTGGATTTTGCATAATAGGTGACCTTCAATTGACGCTTCAGCCAATCCTCAAATGTATCCATCTTTCACTAACAAGCAACCTGATTCCATATTTCCTTCTCATGTGAGTGACTTTCAAGCTTTTGTTTTAAATCCATGATGTACAAATGTATATCCTCTGTCCGTACCATTTAGAATCAACGAAGGCCCGACCATAGGCTATGAGAGAGATGTAGGAAACAAAACCACACATCGGGTGATGTTTCCAGTGAGTGCTACTAATCTGGACAACAGCACTCATTTTGTGATGTTCCCATTCAAGATAAGGGATTTAGAGTGGCTCATCAAGACTTTCAGTCCAAGGTACAGTTGGTGTGTGATATATGTGTGTTATATATTGTTGGGTATTAATATAATAATAGGCAGCTGGTGAGGCTCGGGATAGGGAAGGCTGATATTTAAACATCACAGAAGAAATGTGTATGTGTATGACAGCAATGCACCAACTGACCAATAATATTGCACGGCACAGGAGCTACAAGGGGATGGTAGTTTAAAGCAGGTTCTAATCAATATTTATTATAGCTTACAAGGCTACAGTAAACATGAGTAACAATTGTGTAAGAGATTGTCCCTCATGTGGCTCTGGGTTCATAATGAGTTATGACCAGCTCACAGTATGCGAATCCTAACTGGGATCAGAGCACGCGTACGCGGCTCTAAACCAGCAGGTAGCATGCACACACTGCGCCCGACTCCCCTCGGGCGACAGAAAGCGGAGAGCGGACGCTCTTGCTGCTGCGGCCGAGGAGGACGATTGGCCCGTCCAGGCTTACGAGCCCGCGGACGGGGGCCTTGTGTCCCTGGGGCCGAGTGCCGGGCAGGAGTCCAACAACTCCTGCCCCGCCTCCCTCCACGGTTCACCGTTCGGTTCTCCCCCGGACGAGGGAGACAGAGTCGGAGCAGGGTGCCAGCTTGGCGGCCAAACATGCTTTCCCCCTCTCCGTCACCACAGCGCTACCGGCGATAGGTGGCATCCTAGGGGAACTGCCGGAGATCATACGCAAGGCGGCCGCCTGCAGAGATCTCCCTGTTCCCCTCGCTCACCGGACGACATAACCGGAGTTTTTTCGCGGGTGCAGACGGTCAGGAGTGACCCGATCTGGCCACACTTCCCAGCCATCAGGAGGTTCCAGGAGGGGCGGCGGAAAAACCCGAGGCTTTTGTTCCCCTCACCAAGGTGGAGGGGTTCACAGATGCTGGTTTCCCAGCCACCCCTTCTCTGGAGCCGAGCCTGACGGCGTTTTTTGGGGTAAGACAGGTCAACATAACAGAGACCAGTATGTCACCCGCCAGCCCGACCGGGCACCAGTGTGCCTTTCAGGCGGCGGTGAATAACATTGCGCTGCTCTCCAACTCGGTGGTGACACATAGAGCGGTCCACCACCAAGGCAGAGGAAATCAGCAAGACGGCCAGCACGGCGCTCATTCTGTGCGCGTCCGTCGCTGTCTCCCAGGCGAGGATTTCCGTGTGGGTGACACAGATCCAGCGCCACCTCTGGCTGCAGCAGGCGTCTGTTACGGAGACGGCCAGAAAAGGGCTACTGGACGCTCCAATCAGCCCGGACGGGCTGTTCGGACCCCAGTTCCACGCCATGGTGGAGTCCATGAAGACGGCCGCGGAACAGGCAGACGGCATTTGCCAGCATGTACAGCTGGCTCCAGCCTGCTGAGCGCCCACAGCGGCGCCCGCGCCGGCCACAGGAGGCTGCAAGCGGAGAGACGCCCACAGCAACCGCCTCGGCGTCAGACTCGCCCTTCGGCGGCTGCAGGGGCTCCGTCCCACGTCTCCGCTCCCCCGCCACCCCAGAGACAGGGTCTCCCGGCGGCGAGTCAAAGGGGAGTGAGGCTCCCCCGCTCCTGGTCTGCTCCGTGAGAGCCTCCGAGGAAGCAGAGCCGGTAATTAAGCCGGCTGCCACTAATCTGTTGATTAAGTAGACAGCAGGGCTCCCTGCAGAAGCCTGCTGGTTTTAACTTCGGTTAATAACCTGCAGAGCTCGCGGCATCCCTCTGTCCGAGATACGCCTCCTACACACGGTCATAATAAACCCATGAGCGCCGTTATAACGCCTCGTGTGGACAGCACTGCACACACCTCCATTCATCCCCTGAGCGTGTACACGCCTCATGATGAGAGCCGGAGTGAAACGCAGCTTGTGGAGGCTCCCTGGCGTGGCTCGCCGCCATGACGACCACAGAACATCTCGAACATGTGCGCCCGCTCTCAGAGTGTTTCTCAGAGTGGCAGCGCGTGTGTCTGATGGACAGATGGATGAGCAGGCTGATCAAGCAGAGGGTACACCCTGCAGTTCGCCTCTCCCCCCCACATGCAGTTCAATGGGATACAGGAAACACTCCTGTTATCCCAGGAACAGTCTTGCGCTCCATTCAGAGCTGCTGGAACTCCTGTTGAAAGAGGATATATCCAGGGTTCCTCAAAGGGAGGAAAATCAGGGGTTTTAACTCCCGTTATTTTTCTAATCCCGAAAAACACTGGGGGAATGAGACATCCTCGATCCGTCAGTATTCCACATGCTGACGATCAAACAGGTGCTGGAATGTGTTCACCAGGACGACTGGTTCACTTCCACCTGAAGGATGCATACTTCCACGTACCCATCATCCCAAAACACAGGAAATTCCTGCGTTTTCTCATTTCAGGGAATATCAGACCAGACGATCGTCTGCCGTTCGGATATTTCCTGGCTCCTCGCATTCTTTGTGTAGAGAAAGCTGGAGCCACTACACAGAGGAGGGATGAGAGTGTGGTTTCCTCTGGACGACCTGCTAGTTGCTGGCTCGCTCCAGGGAGGAAGTCGCTTTACAGACGGTACATATCGCATCTGTCAAAGCCTGGGTTTCATAATAAATTGGAAGAAGAGCTGTCCTCTTCCCTCTCAGACAATCGGTTATCTGATAGTGGAATTAAACTCAGCCAGCATGAGAGCGCGGCTCTCACGGCAGCGAGTGGAAGAACTGACAGCTCTCCTCCGGCATGTCACAACCCGCACAGCCCTCTCCGTGACGCAGCTGCTCGGCCTTGGCGTCAGCTGGTCACGTGATGATCCCCTTGGGTCTCTTCCAACAGGGGGACACTCCAGAGGTGGTTCATTCGCTGCAGAATTCTGCTGTTTTTAACCTATTGGTTTATAAACTGCAGAGCCCGTGGCATTCCTCTGTCCCAGATATGCCTCCTACACACGGTCATAATAAATCCACGAGCACCGTTATAACGCCTCGTGTGGACAGCATACACACACCTCTCATCCTCTGCCTCATGATGTGAGACGGGGTGAAATGCAGCGTGTGGAAACTCCCTCGCAGCCCTTTTGCCTCAAGGGCAGCGGCGGCGGCGATGGCGTGGTTCGTCACCATGATGACCATTACGGCACATCACAGAGAAGCCTCTCCCCCCAGCAGTTCCATGGGATACAAGAAACACTCCTGTCATCCCAGGAACAGTGTCTTTGGGTTTTTACCCCCGCTATTTTTCTAAATCTCGGAAAAGAACGGGGGAGTCGCCCCGTTGCTGTACAATCAAACATGTGTTGATTTGCACAGACAACAGGCCACGGCTATGGAAGCAACCTACCTCAATCGCCAGGGAGGAGTACGATCTGCGCAGCTTCTGAACGCAGCCAGGCGGCTGCTGTTCTGGGCGCGCACACACGTTGCTCTCCATCAGAGCAATGTATATTCCTGGCGAATTGAACAGAGGGGCTCGCAGAGCGCAGCAGCCGTGTTATGCGAGGAGTATGGAGACTCAGACCTGTGTCACGTGCACTGGCGCCTCAGTGGGATTTGGCTTTGGTTTTACGCGCACTAAGCAAAGCCCCATTTGAACCTTTAGACCAGGTTCCCCTTAAACTGTTGTCAGCCAAAGTAGTATCTATCAGAGAAAAGGGTGATTTGTCTGCTCTCTCTGTGGCTCCGTCATGCCTCCGGATCCAAGGAGATGGCAGTTCAGCTGTTTTACGCCCTAACCCGGCTTTTATGCCAAAGGTCATCACAAGCTCTTTAGAGTCGAGAGTGATCACCTTGGATGGCTTCTTTCCCCCTCCTCACAGGTCGGAGGAAGAAGCCGCGTCTCATCTCCTCTGTCCTGTGCGCGCGCTGTCCTGCTAGTGCACGCACAGCTGCCTTGTGCCATTCTCAGCGCCTGTTTGTGCATTATAGAGAGCGCTCGATCGTCTGCACAACGGCTGTCACACTGGCTGTGTGAGGCTGTGTCACAGGCATACTGTATGTCTCCTCTGGGGTGGATCCCCTGGAGAACATCAATGCGCACTCCACCAGAGGAATTTCCTCCTCCACGGCTTTGCACGGAGGAATGTCAGTGGAAGATATTTGCACTGCTGCATATTGGTCTTCCCCCTGTTCATTTATTCATTTGAGGGATGTCTCCCATTCCTCTCTGACACACTTTGTACGGAGTGCCTGGTCAGAGTGAGTGACGTCAGGGATCCAGCCGTGTGCTCTCCTGCCTGTCTGCACGCAGAGAGCTGCCGTTCCCCCTCTGTTTGTCGCTGGGCAAGGTGGGACCTTCGTCTCTACTTTTTCACAGCGGCAAGTATGTATTGTTCCCAGCCTTCGTCCCCTCATGGAGAATATTCATATTATGCTATATTCCAGGGACGGCGATGCGCCATTACGCATGGCGCAATAGGCATGGGTTATTATCTGAGCAGGTATGTCTGTGCTTCTAGTACCGGGCGGACCCAGTGGGGCGCAGACTACATCATGGTTCGCCCTTAACCCAATAGCGATAGCCTTAGAGGGCGAAGCCATATACGAAATAGAACTGAGGTTACCTACTGTAACCCCAGCTTCTATGAGTATTGGCGTAGCCCTCTAAGTGCTGGGCCCCACTGGCTCCACGAATAGCTGAAGAAAAGTTATTTTGTATGGGAGCAGATTGTCGGGCCTCCTTCCTATTTATACCGGAAGGAGGCCCGAGGGTGGGGCCCACCTTGAGAGTGGGCGTGGACTACAAGTGTTTCAGTGCTGCGCGGTTGCGCAGGGGATTACCCAATAGCGATAGCCTTACCCCCAGTTTCCACCGGGTCCGTCTGCGCCGCGCTGCTCCGTGTTACGGCTGCGCCGCGGCGGTCGTACGTATCGCGGCCACTCTAGTCAATGGGTGCTATTCCACCACACGTGCCGTGTTACGGCTCAGACGCGTCCCAGAAGCGGCTCGGCGCAGCGCTTCTCTAAAATTAGGATGAATTCTATGTTTGCTGCGGCGCAGCCGTAACATAAGGTCAGGGCAGGCAACCCCCCCTCGCAGGAAGTGGAAAGGTGAGCATCCGGGCCAGGCCCATCCCCCACATATACTAATTTAGCAGACCCCCCTCCTTCATCAAAACACCTCCACTACGATACGCACAATGGACAACGAGGTTTTCATCATGGAAGTGGACTATTACAATTATTATTAACTGTGTCTGTAGACTACAACACAACAAAATAGGAAATGTATAACAACAATAAACACAATTTAAACAGACACAAAAATAAAACATTTAACTAGGTCGCCTACTTACTTTCTTGTAGAAGTACAAATGTCCAGGATGCCCGAATCAATAACAAAACTGCGAGCCTGCACGACGCTACGCTTCTGAAACGCGTCCGGTGGGTTATGGCGCTAGAGGAGGTCGGACCAAAACCGCGGCACAGCCGTGACGCGACGCAGCGCGGCGCAGACGGACCCAGTGGAAACTGGGGGTTAGAGGGCTACGCCAATACTCATAGAAACTGGAGTTACAGTAGGTAACTTCATTTTCTACGAGCCTACCTCTGCTCATTCTGACAGAATTTTGAGTTAGCATATAGTGCTAACATGTGTTATCTGAGCAATACATGTATTAATTGACTATAATACCATAGCCTTATAGGCCTACTACAGGCTGATATTGGGATCTGTTAGACATATTGTATAGGCAAGAACAACATGGACTAATTTGAAACCATTTCGAGAGAAAGACTTCAACAACATGTCATGTTTCCTCCAACAGTGAAAATGCTACCTCAGGGTTAAAAGCTAACAAGGATTTGGTGAGTGAGTATTTTCCATTATACAATTTATGCTAATTCGTTTTTGATGAATGTCAAAATGAAGTCCTACTTTAATCCTAAACAGGTGATGATCCTCAGTCCAGCTTTCATGAATTACGTTCATTTGAAGTGGCTCGGGAGGAAGGGCCAATATCCATCCACTGGCTTTTTGACTTTGATTTTCAGCATCTACATGTGCGATGAGGTAGGTTCATTGTTATTCATTCACATAAAAGAAAAAAATGATATTACAATAAGGTCAAATATTTTTAGAATGAATTGTGATCCAATCTAAATGTATTCTAACAGTGAATATTAGTGCTTATATTACATGGGCTACTGCTACAACTTAACTCTAAATAAAAAATGTCATACGTTCACACAAATGTTAATGAGGACAGCTAATTGTCCAAAAGTCAGATTGGTAATGCTGCCAGAAAGCTAGGTTATAAAATCCATGATAATATTCATCTTCAAGTTAAATCCATATGACTTTCAGTGTATTCCTGTTGTTTTCACAGGTCAGTGTGTTCGGCTTTGGAGCAGACAGTAAAGGAATGTGGAACCATTACTTTGGAGAAGTACTTAATTTGCATCCATGGACAAAAACTGGCAATCATCCTGGATCTGTTGAGGCTGCAAAGATTGATGAACTATTTAAGCGAAAGAAAATAAATGTATACAGAGGATGGTAATCTTAGTCTGCCACGAACATTACCTACGACTTTATTTATTCATCATGTTCATTTTACAAGAAAAATGGGAGTTTGGTGTGGTAGTATGAAAATAAATAAAGTTCAGTCAGACAACTCACATGTTTCTTAATATGTTTATTAGAAGCAGCATATAGTTTGAGTTTGGCGTCTAGGCTCGGGCCTCATCACTCCACAGATTTACAAAGAACATTGAGTGATGATTAGATAACTATCCCCCGAGCCTACAGGTGGAAGCTGGGGTGGTGGAAGCTGGGGTGGTGGAAGCTGGGGTGGTGGTGGGGTGGAAGCTGGGGTGGTGGAAGCTGGGGTGGTGGGGTGGAAGCTGGGGTGGTGGAAGCTGGGGTGGTGGAAGCTGGGGTGGTGGTGGGGTGGAAGCTGGGGTGAAGCTGGGGTGGTGGAAGCTGGGGTGGTGGAAGCTGGGGTGAAGCTGGGGTGGAGCTGGGGTGGTGGTGGGGTGGAAGCTGGGGTGAAGCTGGGGTGGTGGAAGCTGGGGTGGTGGTGGGGCAGGCGAGCATCCGCAACATGAAACACAGCAGCAGGAACAGGAACGTAGCAACAGCAAGTGAACACATCAGCAGCAGCATTAGCGAGGCAGAGGCAGGCAGACCTGGCAGCTTAAATAGAGCGGCATGTTTAGGAGAATGTGTTTGGTTGGTTGTAAGAGGGACGAGGTGCGTGTTAATGTATCAGGTGCTCGAGTTGACTGCCTGAACTAGCTCGCAGGCTTCGCCCCATTTGTTTCTTATTGTCATAAATGTTTATTGTTTGTGCATTTAGGTTTGGGGGAGTCATTTGCAGAGGTGGGTCATTGTTTTGCAAGTCCGAGTCAAGTCTCAAGTCTTTGCGCTCAAGTCCAAGTCAAGTCTCAAGTCAGGATGGGCAAGTTCAAGTCAAGTCCAAGTCCTAAACTTTGACAAAACGAGTCTTAAACAAGTCATTATGTGCTTTTCACCAAATGTAATGACATCGATCAACAGGATAATACTTAATAATCAAACTGCTCTTTATTAGTCACATTAATAATTTAATAATCCATTTTCTCTCTGCTGGTAAAGTAACGTGTGTTTTTCTAATTTAAGAGGGTTAGGGTTAGGTAACCCTAACCCTAACCCCTAACCCTAACCCACGCAGGGCTCCTCCGGAGCCCTGCGCTCTTCCCAACCATTCGTTCGAAATGATCTTGTCCTCACTGAGCTTTTATGATGCTTTTAAAAGGGTTCTTATAAGGTTTAATAAGAGCCCTGCGCTCTTCCCCAACCTAACCCTAACCCTGATTCAGAAGGAGTTTAATGTATAAGATCCCTGATGTTAAGGTAACCAGAATGTTTATTTCCACTGTGTACAACATGTTGTAAGGGACCCACAATCTAACTTTATGCAAGGGATAATGTGCAGCGAGGCGGTCTCTATGGGGAAGAGAACACCTGAATCTAGATCCCTCTGCAGGTGGTACTTTAACTATGTTTTGATGCTAATACTTTTTTACTTGTAACATTTTGAATGCAGGACTTTTTATTGTACAGGGTTCCTGCAGGTTTCGCCAACTCAAATTTAAGACTTTTTAACACATTTTTAAGACCACTTTGAATAGAATTTAAGACCTATTTCACGGCAATAAAGTATGAAGGAAAATGTATATAAAGAAGAAATACGTCCCATAATCACTTACAAAGTAAATGTATTCATGTTCAACATAAGAACAGTGACTGAACATAACAGCATAACAGTACAGAACTGTGTGTGTGTGTGTGTGTGTGTGTGTGTGTGTGTGTGTGTGTGTGAAAACAGAATACCGTATTGTTATAATACAGTATTTATCCACATTCATGGTAATATTTGTATATTCAACAAAAAAAACAAAAAAAGTCTTAATAATAATAATAATAAATCATATGTGTCCGAAAGGAGTAGGAGGAAGCAAATGCTTATTAATTCCCACCCCTTACTTGATCAATGATTGTCCTTTAAATCATTATGCAAGTTATTCCTACTTAGATTTACATTTATACATATACAATCATTTTTCATCTTCAATCACCTTTCTTCATTCTCATATTTTTACAAAAAAGTGTTTCTGTACATCCTTTTAAACTGAATTATGCTTGTGCTATGTTTGAACTCCTGCTCCAAACCATTCCATAAAATCACCCCACAGATTGTTAAACTCATACTTCTCAGAGTTGTTCTGACCTTGAGTTTAAAATGTAGATTTCCTCTCAAATTATACCCCCCCTCTCTGTCTACGAACAATGTTTTTAATTTCCTAGGAAGTAGATTATGTCTTGCTCTGTACATGATTTGCGCCGTTTTAAATTTAACCAGATCAATGAACTTCAATATGTGTGACTTCAAAAATAATACATTAGTGTGTTCAAGATATCCAACATTATTGATAACTCTTATAGCCCTTTTCTGTAATGTGCATAACGGCTGTAGGTTGGTTTTGTACGTGTTTCCCCAAATCTCCACACAGTAAATCAGATATGGCAATATGAGTGTGTTATATCGAGTATGCAATGAGTTATAGTCCAGAATGTATCTGGCTTTTCCCAATATTGCGATAGTTTTAGCCAGTTTTGCTTTTACATGAGTGATATGAGGTTTCCAGCTGATGTTGTGCTCTCAAACCACACCAAGGAACTTCATTTCATATACTCTTTCTATGTGTATGTTATCTAGTATTAATTGTATCTGTGGATTTGTTTTATGTTTTCCAAATAACATAATCTTTGTTTTGCTTATATTTAATGATAATTTGTTTGTGTCAAACCAATGTTTTACTTTAATCATTTCTGCTGTTATCACTTCCATTAGCTCTTTCAAATTGTCACCGGAACAAAACATATTTGTGTCATCTGCAAATAAAATACATTTCAATATATTTGATACTCTGCAAATGTCGGCTTTGGACCCAACACGGACCCCTGAGGTACTCCACAAGTTATGTTCATGTATTCTGATTTATGTTCACCAATTTCAACAAATTGTTGTCTGTTGCTTAAATAATCTCTCACCCAGTTTAATCCCACCCCTCTGATGCCATACCGTTCCAGCTTTATCAGTAAAATATTGTGATCTATGGTGTCAAATGCTTTTTGTAAGTCTATAAATATTCCCACTGCTTGTTTTTTTATTGTCCATGCAATTTGCTATTTCCTCACTTAATTCCATTAGTGCCATAGATGTTGATCTATCTTTCCTGAATCCATATTGACTGTCGTCCAAAAACTGATGTGTTTCCATGAAACTGTGCCGCGGAAAACTGTACAAATCCCGTTTCAATAATTCCCCTCTACTCTAAAGTCGCATCTAAAACGTGATCTGATCTTGCTGTGTATATTTTGTTATTTTTGATTGTTATATTCAATCTCACTAGCTAGTAGCTACAGGCATGTTTGAAGCTTGTAAAGGGAAGATGACAGCTCTCGCCACTCTGCTGTTCCTCAGCGCCGCCCCCCTCCCCTCCCGATGAAATTAGGAATGTAAGGTGTATAGTAATCATAGATAACACCGCAGGGTCCGTTACAGTTTGTTTTTATCTGATTTCAAATAAGCAAAGTCTTGGGTTTCAGAATATTAAACTTGTTTCGGCAAATTCAGATGATAAATACAACTTTGAAGCTTGTGACGGCATAATTACAAGCGGAGAACGGAGTAATTTAACGTCACAGCAGGCATAACAACAGCCGGTGTTTCTCGTGAGTGTTTTCCCCGGGAAACAAACACAATACACACAAACGCAAAAATACACAAACACACACGTATATACACGCGGCGCGGAACACTGTACAAATCCCGTTTCAATAATTCCCTTCTACTCTAAAGTCGCATCTAAAACGCGATCTGATCTAGCTGTGTATATTTTTTTATTTTTGATTGTTTAAGCTTGTAAAGGGAAGCTCGCCTCTCACTGCCACTCTGCTCTTCCGCAGCGCCGCTCCCCCTCCCTCCGGCTGAAATTATGAATGTAAGGTGTGAAGTCAAGATAACACAGCAGGGTCCGTTACAGTATTGAGTGTTCTGTAATCAGTTACTGAATACTGAATATATGGCTCTGAAAGTAATCAGAATACAGTTACGTGTCTGAAACGTTGGAATCGGGATTACTTTTAGAATACTTTCTTTCTCCATAACAGATGGGTATGTTTTTGTGAACAGGAGACACGTATTTTACTGTTTTAATGGCTTATCAAGAACTCAAACACAACATCTTGGTGTCATTCTGGACAGCTCCCTCTCATCTGCACCCCGTATAAAAACATCACCCAGACTGCATTCTTTGTACTGCTTTAAAACCTTTCCTTGGAATATGTTATGAATTGTAAGGTGTCCTTGGGTGCTTTGAAAGGCGCCCCTAAATAGAATGAATTATCATTATTATTTATTATCTGAAACGATGTTATAACTTTTAAAACTTTTTCCAGTCACTTGCCCCATGCATACAGCAGCAGCAGGCCATTCACTTTGATTTGATCCCGTTATGAAATGTCATCATTTCGACAATAAAGAAATGCTACATAAACGTTATCTTGCACATTTGATCTAACCATCTCCGTTTCTAACTTTCAATATATTTTAAAAGAGATCCCTCTCTCTCATCTGCGTGCGGGGGCGGGGCCTCACAGACACACTGCATCTCTCTCGCTCACAGACATGCTGCAGCGCTGTGCAGTGTGCACACAGCTCTGCCGGTAATGAATATTACATTTTGTGAGGAAACTTTTCCACCAATAATTCCAATAAGTAATCCAAAATGTATTCACTTCAGGTTTACGAAAGTAACTGTAATCAGATTACTCGTTTTTTCAAATGTAACGCCAGCTGAATTCAGTTAGCCTACTTGATGTTTGTATTCTGATTACGTAACGCCGTTACATGTATTCCGTTACAACCCAACCCTGCTTCTAGGCTACTGTCCCGCAGCTCCTGTCTCTCTGTTGGACTCCGTCGCAGCAGGGCTGCTGCTGTGGTGCGGAGCGCACAAACCAGACTTCACAACGAAGGATCACTTCTTCTTCAAGACAGGGAAGGTTTTGCAGTACGCAGTCTACTGTCCCGCAGCTGCTGCCTCTCTGTTGGACTCCACACAGTGGTTAC